GGTTGGATGCTAGTTGGATGCTTGTTGGACGTTGGTTGGATGTTGGTTGGATGCTGGTTGGACGTTGGTTGGATGTTGGTTGGATGTTGGTTGGATGCTGGTTGGATGCTAGTTGGTTGCTTGTTGGAAACTGGTTGGATGTTGTTTGGATGCTGGTTGGACGTTGGTTGGATGCTGGTTGGACGTTGGTTGGATGTTGGTTGGATGTTGGTTGGATGCTGGTTGGATGCTAGTTGGTTGCTTGTTGGAAACTGGTTGGATGTTGTTTGGATGCTGGTTGGACGTTGGTTGGATGGTGGTTGGACGTATCGCTGCAGCTCCATCAGCTGATCTGTGTTTGTGCCCCCAGTGCATGCTGGGACTTGGTGTCCTCTATGATCTCATGGATTCTTCCAGATAAACTTCAACATTCATCCTGAAGTCTCACAGCATCAGTCTGATCATTCCGGATCCAACCTGATCCACAAGGACCAGAACAGAACCAGGATCCAGCAGGACCAGAACTGGGTCTGTTAGTGGAGCGTCGGCATGTCGGTTCCTTCAGGGACAGACGTGAGTCGACACGTCCTGGAAGCTCCAGCAGCCGCAGCCAAAACAAACCCAGAGTTGGTCACATGACTCCCAGGAGGGCTGTGATTGAAAGAAAACCTTCAGGAATCTGGACCACCTGGTTTACTCCTGACCCGGTTCTGCTGAACCTGGTCCATTTGCTGATGAATCTTCTGAACAGCTTCCTGGTTCTCCACCTCAGGGCCCAACTCTGGAAAACCAGAACATCTGGGAACATCTGGGAATGTTCTCTGCTCCTTCCTCCATGAAATGTGCATCAATAATTCATACAAACCCCAGATGTCAGGAGCAGAGATCTCAGCTGCCTCTGATGCATGAGATGCAGCTTCTCCATCTGTCTAACCATCATCCAGCATCAGCTGCATGCGGGGCAGCATGCATGAAAACAGGCCTCAAAACTATTGCAGCAGTCGGCTTCCATCATCGGACAGGGGGAAGGTCTGGCCGGGCTCTGAAGCAGCTTTCCCGGTCACAGCGGGTCGGTCAGAGCCGCTGACCAGCTCCGGAACCACCGAAACGGAAAGGTTAAGGAGAAAGATTCCGGTACCAGCCGAACATTGGGACCGGATTCGGTTTGTTCCACTGTTTTTAGCGATAATGTTTAAAACTACTATTATCATTACTATTATTATTATTATTATTATTAAAAAAATAATAATAACGTCACGAAACTGCGCTGACAGTCTAGCGGCGGTTAAACATGATTCGCCAACAACCCAATCGGGCTGAGGATCATTCAACCCGGATAAAACCCGAACCCACCCCTCTGGTTCCGAACTGCGGCAGGTCCGAACATCACTAAAAACAAGCCAGAGAACTGTCCGACAATAGGCGCATCGCGGTGTCCGTTACTCTCCATAGCAGTTAGTGGCTAACTAGGAGTTGGACTGGGTCCGGCCCGATTCGGTTCTGGGCGGTATCGGCTCAACTGGAGGCGGGAGGACCGTACCTGGATGTAACAGCTGGTTCGACCCGCAGGTGAGAGGAGGGAGGATCATGGTCAGGTCGATGCCAGCCAGATTCCGTCCATGTTAGCAGTTCTGGTTCTAGAGGCGGAGAAGAAGAAGAAAAAGAGGAAGAGGGACGCAACACGGCACACTGCTTCCGGAAGAGACCTTCAAAATAAGAGTAGGGACGCCTCACCTGCAGTTGATCAAATTTCCAATTGTTTTATTGCTTTGTCGTTCATGTTGTGATTTACGTTCGTCCGTCCGTCCATCCAACCATCCGTCCGTCCATCCATTCACCGTAGCGCTCTTTCAGTCTAAAGTCTATATTATATCAGTTTCTTTATAATTGTGATTTTATTTGGGTTTTGGAATCAGCTCAGCTAATCAGAGAATCTGGATTCTCTGAACATCAGCTTTAAATATCTCCGTGTTGTGCTTTCATTGGTTGATTAATCCTCCAACTGTTTGTCTAACAAATAATCTATAAATCCATCTGACTTCCTTCAGGGGTTTTCTCTTTAGTTTGAGATTAGTAGTACTTTTATTTTGAAGCCTCGCAGCACTGCTTCCGGTTCAGATGCGGTCAAATTGACGCAGCTGCAGCTGTCAGAAGGCGATGAATTTATTAACCCGCTCCAGAATCGTACTCTCCATCGGGACCAGAACCAACATAACCAGCAGCAACTTCTGGTTCGGGGCCCGCCAGACCCAGCAGGGTCGGGTCTGGGTCTGGGAGTTTCACATGGAAAGATCCAGAGCTGATGGCAGAACACAACAGAACCGTTCTGGTTCTGGTCTGCCATGTGTAATCTGCTTTGTTTCCTCTTCCAGAATCAGACTAGATCCTGGTACCAGAACCGCCCTCTGGTTCTGTGTCCTCCAGATGAACTGGTTCCTCAATCAGATGTGTGGAGGTTTCAGGGATGTTTGAAATGGAGCAGCAGAAGAAGAAGAACGTTGTGAATATTTCTGAAATCTACCGGGCCTGTTGCTGCAGAAAATAGAGGAAGTGCTAAAACCAGCACTTCCTGTTGCCTTCGCACTTACCATCATCAGTTCTGCTTCAGCTTTAGTCAAGGTTATTCAAGATCACAGTGGGGGAGGGAGGACAGACCTGAAGCTAAAAGCTCAACACCTTTAGTTTTAATTAATTGTTAAAGTAAAACTGTGAAGGTAAAAATAAAATGGTTGAAGCATAGGCTTATATTAGATGTAGTTTTATCTGTAGAGTACGGGCCCCCATTAGCCCCTGATGGCCCCCATGTAGAACCGCCCATGCCCTCACTGAGTTTTCATTTCAGACTGAAACATGAGCCTTTTTCTTTCTTGTTAATAAAAACTGGTGATAATTTTTAATTTAAATGTTTCAGCTAGAGAAAATTTTATCAATCAGCAGATTAATGCAGCAACAATAGCAGACTCTAGGTGGCGCTGTTACCGAGTTCCTTAGCAACTTAGCAAATGGTGCTGAACCTGCGCTGACCATATATGGGCGATGACATCAGGGGGAAGTTCAGAGCGGAGAGACTCCAAACTTTTACTTATTGGTGAGTTCAGGTTTTGTTTAAAATGTTTTTTAAAAAATTAATTGAAAATACTATTTCTTCGTTTTGGACAAAATTTTCATTTTAAAGTTTTGATTCAAATAAAACTTTTAATTTACCATAAAGTTCTGGTGTCTGCTGCAAAAAGATCCCCACAGTACAATGCTGCCACCACGTTTAACTGTGGGAGTGTGTTGATTTCCTCCCACCTGAGCTATGGATCCCTGTTGCTCCTCCACAGACGCCATGGTAACGCTCTCCTCCAGCCCGTCAGTCTAATGGATGGACAAATTGGTCAGTTAATAGGGGTGTGAATACTTTTCTAAGAGACTGCAGGTTGGAGGGCCAACTGCTCCACTAATGGATGTTTATAATTACTTTCATGTTTTTCATATGAAGAGAAAATCAGCTGAAAGGATGAGAACGAAGCGCAGGTGAGAGAAACGGACAGCAGGGGGCAGCAGTTCCGCAGGTTGCTTTATTTTCTGTAAAATAAAGTGTAGACAGTCCGTATGTCTCCATCGGTCTGCCTTTAAAAACGGCTGCTGCTGACGTCAGAAGCACTTCCGGTTTAAAACATATTTACAATATTCCCTGGTTATTAATATTGTCAATAAACAACTCCAATAAAAACATCTGAATACAAACAATCAGTTTTTCCTCTAAAACTATAAACATGAAGGACGTAAGAAATTCATAAACATCAGTAGAAAACAGGGTGAAATATGGCCTTAGTCTCTCTCACACACACACACACACACACACACACACACAGCAGGTTCATGGAACCTTTTTGTTCGTGGTTCTGTCCACATCCGGTTTGTTAAAGAACTGAGTTCTGTTAAAAAATGGATCATTTTCAGGTCCGGTTCCGATTCCCTCTAAGACCAGAAGTCTGCCGACTGAGCGGGAAAAAGACTGAATCCTCCCAGGAACGTTCTCTGGTTCTGGTTCTGCTCCGAGTTTAACATCAACAGATGTTATTCAAACTCAGCAACAATAAGAGAAAATGGGATTTATACATTTTCACCATGTTATTCAGTTAGTTTCAAACTTCATTTAGCAAGCTTGCCAATTATTTTCTTTCATATTAAGTATTTAGTTATCAAGCTAAATATCTGGCTCCAAATTAAATATTTATTTGATAAAATATGTAGTTTTAAAGCTAACATTTAGATTGAAACTAATATATTAATTTTCCAATAACTGGAAGTGGATTACCAAAAGAAAAGCGTGGTTTTCCGAACCTCTCCATCTTCGTTTCTTTTCCTGAACATTTTAAACAAAAACATGAGACGTTTTAAAGTCGGAGACATTTACTGATGGATCTACAGCAGGTTCTGAAGGCCCAGATTTTAATTTGATAGTCCACTTCCGCTAATGTTTGTTAGCTAGCCCAGAGTTAAATATTTAGCTAGCGAAGAGCTAACTATTTGATTAGGAGCTAAATATTCAGTTTCTATATTCAGTTAATTCAGAGCTAAAGTTTCCAAATCATTGCGGTTCATTTCTGAGTGTCTAACTGAAGACGGCCCTTTGTCTCGGACCGGACTGGACCGGAACCCATCCCGCTTCAAACGGCTCCAGGCGCACAGACGCTGGTCCAGATCTGAGAAGGGTTAAAACTCTGAACAGTAACTGAGTTCTGGTACCGTTTCACTTTGTTCTGATCAACAACCGAATTTTAAGGGCTCAGGTTTGGTTCCGGTCCGTTTGAAGGAAGTAGATCTGCAGCAGCCCGCTCTGACCTGCAGGGGGCAGCACTGCAGTTCTGGACCAGATGTTTTCCACATTCTGGACAGTCAGTCGGAACCAGTCACTGATCCGTTCTGCCTCCAGAACCTCTAGCTGTGTTCCATAAACAGGAACATGGTGGATCAACTTCCTGTTTGTAGCTGAACGGTTCTGATAAATAACTAAAAGATCCAAATTAATCTGGACCCGGTTGGACTGGAGCCTCCAAGCAGAACCTTGCGGCTCATCTTTCTGGAATATTACTGGGAAAATCTGATTTTCATGATTTTGTGGTGAAACAGCAAAACCAGGAATCGGACCAGGCCGTGTCGGATTCTTGGACAGAAGAACACGACTGCAGAGTTTATTAGACTCTCATATTAGAAACTTTGTACACATTTCAAATCTTAATAAAATACAAACTTATTTACATGTTACAGAAAAAATATGGCTGAAAAACGGACGCAGCAGCAGGCAGGGGGCGTGGCTAAGCGCTGTCCATCACAGTGAGTGGGCGGGGCTAAAGGGCTCATCCCACCAATCAGGAGACATCTTGACTTCGGGCAAAAATTAAAATATAAACATTTAAAATATTTTTACTTTTGTCCTTCAAAGTGCAAAAATCTATTTTTCATCTTTCTGTAAAAATCATTTCAGGGCTTTTCTGGTTCTGGTTGGACCCAGACCCAGATCAGAGAGGAGGGGCTGCTGGAGGCAGCAGACACGGTCCAGTTCCGACCCGGTCCAGTCCAGACCCGGTCCGGTTCCGACCCGGTCCGGTCCAGACCCGTTCCAGTCCAGACCCGGTCCGGTTCCGGAGGCGTTTGTTCTCCCGGGTCATGCAGCTTTGGACCTGCTGGGTTCTAGAGGACCACAGAGATTCTGATTACATGAACTGGGCTGATATTTTTCAGGACCAGATCCCCCTGAGTGAACTGGTTCTGATCCGGTCTTCCCGTCCAGGTGGACCGAGTGTTCTGGGCTTTTCTTTGGACTTTGGCGGCTTCAGTGGAACTGTGGTGCATTCAAGGTCTGCTTCAGAAAATCTGGGTCCAGTGGGTCCAGAACCACAGACATATGGACCGGGTGGTTCCGGTTCTGCTTCCTGGTTTTACCAGGTTCAGGATCTCCTCTGGAGTAACGAAGTAGGAAAGGTTCTGCAGGCGGACCGGATCGGGTCTGAAGTGGTTCTCTGAGTGACTCACTGACCCACTGCGCATCTGACAGAGCAGTACCGGTTCTGGTCCTGGTCCTGGTTCTGCTTCCGTGTAACAAAGATCCTCACAGCGCAGCTGGTTTTTTTTTTTTTTTACATTTCCTTTTCTGCATCTTGGGCCCAGATGGACCAGAACCAGAACCCAGAGAGTTTCCAGGTAAAATAAATCTATCGTGACCTCTGACCTCAGGTCTTCAGTCTAACCCTCCACGTGGAGGGATGAGCGTCTGGACCCGGTGCGGCCCGGTTATTTGAGGCGGTCGGAGCGGAAGGAGTCCTCCACGGCCGGGTCGGCCAGCATCAGCTCGCCCTCCAGCAGGTCCAGCGCCAGCGGGTCGATGCGCAGCGGCTCGTCCAGAGAGAAGGCGTCCATCTCGAAGCCGGGGACGTGGGACAGAGCGCTGGTGATCTCCTTGGACAGACCGGGGGGAGAGTCTCCTGCAGGGGGAGGGAATGGGTCAGAACTGGGTCAGAACAGCGTGAGGTTCTGGTGGTTCTGGCGGGTACCTGTGAGGATGATGTTGGGGACGTTCTGGCGGCCGTCTCCACCGCTGTAGTTCCGGTTCTGGTTCTGGTGGTTGAGCCGCTGCGGGTCGCCGGGCTGCTGCAGCTCCAGCGCCCCCTGGCTGTTGGACGGGAACTGGTTCTGACCCGGTCCGCTGTGGTTCAGGCCGTCAACCGGACTCTCAGCCGGGAACTGGAGCAGAGGGAGAAGACTGGTTAAAGAGGCAGCAGGGCTGGTGCTGCCCCCAGCTGGTGGAGGGCAGAACTGCAGCACATGGTGTGGAGAATGATAAAGCTGTCTCCTGGCAGAGTGGAGCATTTATTTATTTTAATAAGTTTAATCTGCATGTTCCTGGACTGAACCTGTGGTGAGCGGCAGCCTGCAGTGCTGGACGGAGGCTCGGCTAAGACATGCGGACGACTGAGGCCTGGCAGTGAGTTACATGAAGAAATCGATAGATAAATGAAGTTCACCTGCTGGTGTGATTTTCCGGACAGCTGCAGGCTGAGGTACGGATCGTCCAGCAGCGAACTGAACAGTGCGTCCTGCAAGAAGCACATCAGGACGTCAGCAGCTAAACCAGGCTGCTCAACGTGGGGGCCGTGGCCCCCTTGGGGGCCGCCAGGGCGCGACACAGGGACCGCAGAACGTTGGGCGAAGATGGGACTGTTTCTATGTGAGGTTCTGACCCGATTGGACCCTACCCCGGTTCTGGTACTCACGTTGTAGAAGTCTGTGTTCAGGTTGATGTGCTGCTGCTCTGCCTGCTGGTTCTGGTCCGGTTTGGACCGGTACTGGGAGGACGTCTGGCTGCACGGGTCCAAAGCGCTCTCTGACTTGACGGGCGGGTTCTGCTGCGGTCCCATGGGCCTCTGCGACTGTGTAGGAGCAGAACTGGGTCAGAACCGGGTCAGAACATCAGAATGGAGTGAGGATCCTGACGTACCGGTCCAAACTGCTGCAGGTGCTGGTTCCGGAGGTTTTGCAGGTGCAGCTGCTGCTGATTGGTTCTGGGCTGCTGGAGGCGGAGCATCTGCTGGTTCTGACCCAGAGACGGGTTCTGCTGGCCCGGCTGGCTGAGCGGGTACGGAGGGAGGCGCTGGTCCGCCGGCAGCCGGCTGGTGTCCAACGGGACGCCCTGCGGGGACACAGGAAGTGACATCACGGGGTGGTGAGGGGAGCACTTCCTGTTGGAGGAACTTGATGTGCTTCCATCTCCACCCGGCTCCAGGTGGGCTGGTTACCTGGGAGATGGAGGACAGGGTGGGGGACATGGTGGGGGAGAACTGTTTGGGGTGGATCCTCCATGACTCCCCCGCCATCGGCAGGATGAGCGGCGACAGCTGGGCCCGTCTCCGCGGCGACGTGCTGAGGGACACCTGGCCCTGCCCGGTCAGCATCGCCGAGTAGGGGGAGGAGCCAGATCCGGCCACGCCCCCTCCACCGCCGTAGCCGCCGGACTGGAGGGAGGAGTTACTGAGGGACGAGTGCAGCGATTGGCTGCTGAGGGAGGACGGCAGGGAGGGAGAGGAGCTGAGCGACGACTGCAGAGACGGGTTGCTTAGCGACGAGTGGAGGGAGGCGGAGCTCAGAGAGTTGGAGAAGGAGTGGCTGCTGAGGGACGACTGGATGTTGGGGTTGCTTAGCGACGACTGCAGGTTGGGGTTACTGAGCGTGCTCTGTAGAGACGCCAGGAGACCTGAGGCAGCAGAACGACAGACAGGAAGTAGAAAAAAAATCATTACAGGAAGTAGAAGACGGACTGAAAGCAATCTGTCTCCAGTGGCTGCAAAGCAAGCCCACATCATCACTCCCACACCTCCGTGCTTCATGCCGTCTGAGGCTTCCTGTGTGTCATGACCTTGAACTCTTTGTCTCTCCGAGATTGATGGACTGGTCTGGAGATGACCTTTGACCCCTCCCAGCATGGATCTGATCCAGAACCGATTTCTAAATCGACAGAGACCTGAGCAGACAGCAGGTGGCGCTGCAGACACGCTGCAGCTCGTCTCAGCTCCACATCTGACCTTTAACCTCCCACCGACTGCGCTCTGAACATTTGCGATGGTAATCAGAGGCACTTCCTGTCTGAAACCGATCCAGGTGCAGTCTGCTGCTGCAGCTTCCTGCCTGCGGCTCCTGCAGCCACCAAACACGCCGACGTTTTCCGACTGCAGAGGAAGAACGAACGCGCCGCCTCTGAACCTGGGGGTTAAATTTAGAGCGCAGCTCGCCGATGGCGTCCAGAACAAGTCACAGGTCCGGAGATCAACACGTCCAGAAATACAACCTGCAGGAACGTTTCCCCAGAGATCAGGGTCACTCAGACCCAAACAGACTGAATGCATGGTGGTGGCAGCATCATGGCTTCTGCAGACCACATCTCTTTATCCAGAACTCCGTCCGGCTTCACTGAAACCACGGTGGCGCGACACCTCCAGAACGCACAGTCAAGCCCAGAATTATTCATACACCTGACTGGTTTTCTTTATTTATTAGTATTTTTCACATTTGTTTACGTACTTAATGTGTATGAATAGAGATATTCCTCTATTTGACCTTTGACCAGTTCTTTTGTCTCGAGTCTTGAATATTGTCCATTTCTTCTGTGCTGCTAAAGTCTCAAACCATGTCAGCTTTTCCATAATGTAGATTTCTTCCATCATTCCATTGTTGTTCCCCAGGGGGCGCCACCTTTCCCCATTTCCTCCTAAAAGCTTAGATATTAACATTGTACCTATATTTCACTCTTACTTTCATGCCGTTTCAGTTGCAGAGCTGTAGCACCATGCTACTCATATCCCAGAATCTTTGTGCACATTTTTCCAAAACTGACCAATTCCAGGACAGTTCCAAACATGTGAGAATGATCGGCCTTCACTGATCCACAGTTCCTCCAACAGCCCATTTTTATGCTCTTATAACTATTCTGGACTTTAGCCGGGATGAAAAATCGTGTTGGATTTTTCCATGTGAACTCCCTCATGTCCGCCCGTTTTCCACACATCCAACCAATCTTCATCTGTAATCGCCATGCCAAGCTCTGATTCCCACTTTTATATAATTAGTTGAATGTTTCCTCATCAGTTTATGATAGAGTAGAAATTATTTTAATTTTTGCTTCCCTGAATGAATTTATCTCCATTCGAATCCTGATTTCTGTCGTCACCTGACAGTTTTTAGTGGTTTAGTGGAAGCTGCAGGTTTAGCAATAGCTCCTGATCATTTCTAAGGTGCAAACGTTGCAGAGAAGCTTGGGGTAATTAGCAATACCTTATGCTAATATCTTAAAGTATTTACCATTAGCTTATGCTAAGTTTTTATGAGTTTAGCAAGCGCTTTCTCTAATATCAATTTCTTGTGTGTTTAATGTTTTAGCGTTAGCTTCTGCTCATTTTATGCATGTGGTAGTTTAGCAGAAGCTTACACAAGTTTTTTAAGTATTTGTAGCTTCTGCTCATTTTTGTTATTCTAGAACTAAAAGAGGAATAAAAATAAAACCGTGGCTCTTTAACAGAGCCATAACACAAACGTCCAGGCCCGGTTCTGCAGAAAATCTGCTCAGGGTTCAGGTTTCTTCATTTTATTCAGGTTGAAATTCAGAAACAATAAAATTCCACTTGTGTAAGAATATTTTCCCTCCTCTGTGCTGAGATTCGTCCAAACGCTTCGGTGTTTCAAACCTTCAGGGAAATCATGGGTTGATTTAGAGACGTTTTTATATAAAACCAGAAAAATATGTTTATAACATTTGTAGACAACAGAGCTGCAGTGTTTTGTGTCCAGAAGACATCAGAAGGAAGTTAAAGGTTCTGATTCCTGACCCGGCAGGTTCTGACCTGGTGCTGGCTGGTGGTAGCTGCCGTTTCCTCCGGCGGTGTTGATCCCCATCTGGGTGAGGGTGGAGGCCAGGTTTCCAGTGCTGCTGCCCCCGCTCAGAGCAGAGGATGCTGGGTAACCGGGCTCGTCCTGGTCCAGCGGCGTGGGCAGCGGCGACGGGAAGTGGAGGCTGGACAGGTCGGGCAGCGAGCCGCCGGTGTTGGGGACCTGAGGGACGCCTTGGACCGGCGTGGACGGCTGCTCCGGGGACGTGAAGATGCTAGGACGAGTGAGAAGACAGTCAGAACCGGGACTGGACCTCTGGAGGAACTACGGATCAGAACCAAGACTTACTTGATGCCTGGAACCTCACAGGACTTTGGTCGAGACGACGGCAGAGACAGCTGGTCGGAAAACAGAGACGCTCAGAGACGCAGAAGAAGAAAAGAAGAAAAAAAACAGCACAACCTTGTGCTTTATCCAGAACCACAAGGTTCTGCTGAGGTCCAGCCGGGTCCAACTTGAGAGGAGAACTGAACTGTACCTTCTTGGCGTCCCAGGCTTTGAGCAGTTTGTCTTCGTCCAAAACATTTTCCTCAATGGGAGGAACCGGATAGGGGAACACTGCAGGATGGAGGACAGAACCATCAGAACCAGCAGCAGAACCATCAGAACCAGCAGTAGAACCTCTTAACACACAGCGTTCTGACACACTGGATCAGAACTTGATCAGAACCTGAGGAAGTTTCCTGTGGATCCCAGCCAATTGTAAGAGTTTGTGTCCCACTGCTAGAGCACTTCCTGGTTTCTGTCCAATCAGAGGGCAGAGAGACACCACCCTCCTGTCCTCCCAGTACATCTGGTTCTGCAGAAACTGGACCTGGATGGAGTGACTTCATAGACATACTATAAGAGTAGATCCTGGATTGGCCGCTCCGGCGCAGGAAATACGGCGGCCATCTTGGAGC